ATTTAAAACCATTGTAGGTAGTAGTATGGTAGGGTCCCCACAAGTCAATGTGAACTAGTTGAAAAACTTTGGAAGAATGAGTGGTTCTATCAGGGAAAAGAGTTCTCTGTTGTCTTACCTTGGGATATATTGGACAAGTAAAATATTATTTTGCTAAAAACTTAAAAGACAGATGTGGGATAGAAATTATTTTCACAAAAGAAATGTGACACATTCATTGATGCCTCAAAACATCATTTTTATTAATAGTTATAGAATTACATGAGGTTGAAAACACAGAAGATGAAGAAACATCATCAACACTAGTGTGTAAAGAGCATGCACTAGGTGACACATCATTGTTTGAAACAATAAGAGAAACTGATGGAAAAGCAGAAACAATAGGTGCTACAGTAGTTACTAAATGATCAAGAGAAACGGGGGCAGAAATAGATGCAGTGGAAGGCATGTGAAGAATGTAGAGACCATGATCCACTTTACCAATTTCCAATAGCCTCTTCAGAGAAGTTCCCTGTAGGAAAAGAGATATAGTAGTAAGAATATCATAACAATTGAGTTGAGTAAGGAGTTGATGTATAGAAATCAAATTGAACTGAAAGGAAGGCACTAATAAGACATTGGTTAAAATGATAGTAGAAGACAGTGAAAGAGAATAAACAGATGTGACTTTAACCTTGTAACCATTAGGTAATGTAATGAGAGAATGTGTCAACAGAGGTTGAATATTGTGCAATAGGTATTTATGTGGTATCATGTGATTAGTGGCACCAGAATCCAGAATCCAAAATCCAAGAAACTAAATCTATTTTAGAAGCATTGCATGCAAAAGAACCATCTTTATTAAAAACAGTACTGTTGACCAGACCTGCAAAGTTGGCATAAGCAGTTGAGGATGAAGACTGTGGATGAGAGGTAAGTTATGCCTGCTGGAAAATGTATAAGAGGTGAGCATACTGCTCCTTTGAGAAGCCATGTGGAGAGACATCAACATTCTGAGTATCAGGACCCATGGAGATCTCAGAAGATGTTTCCAGTTGTGCACAAACAACAACTTTGCTTTCATGTGGAGGCCTGTTTTTGGTGAATTTGAAATTTGGAGGAAACCCATGGAGTTTGTAGCATTTGTGCACTGTATGTCCAGTCTTTTTACAATACTTGCAAGATATTAGGGACTTCTTAGGATCAAATTAACTCGTTGAGTGTAATTTCTAGGATTATTGTATTGTGGAGGTGCAGGAGCAGATTGTGAATTGGCAAGGAAGGAAGCTGAATCAGAAGAAAAAATTGGAGCATCAGACTTAATCTCTCTTTGTTTCTCATCCCTAATCAGCAGAGAATATGCCTTTCCAATAGATGGTACAAGAATCACCATTAGAATGTTACTTCGAACAGTAGAGTATGTATCATTTAACCTAGAAAGAAACTGAATGAGTTGTTGGCCTTCAATAAACTCAAGAAGAGAACCACATGTGCATGGTTTGCCAAATGTGCAAGTACCAAGCTCATCCCAGTAGCCTTTCAACCTTGTGAAATAGGTAGCTATGTTAGAAGACCCCAGAGTAGTGGTAGTTATAGCCCTTTGGATGCTATAGTATTTAGAAGTATTGGCAACTCCATAATGTTCTTCTAGGTTATCCCAAGCTTCCTTGGTTGTTTTGTAATAGAGGGCAATTTTAGATATTTCCTTGGAAAGGGCATTCATAATCCAAGCTTTCACCATACTGTTACACCTCTCTCACTGAGGGTAAAGCCTAGAATTGGAGTCAGGTTTGGGGAAAGATCCATTTATGAGTAGTTTATTCTTTGTAGAAAGAGATATGATCATTCCCTCTCTCCATTCACCATATTCTATACCAGCGAATGGGACTGAAACCAATACTGTCCATGGAGTATCAGAGGGATGAAGGTACATGGGATGGAAAGGATCAACACTAAAGTTAGGACTAATTTCTGAAGACTCAGAAGTAGTGGGAATGGTAGAATCAACAACCATAGTTATCCGAATCAAAGAGGATGCAAATGAACAATCGAAATTGTACCAAAAAATAATGCAAATTAACAAAGTAGAGAGAAATACCACCAAATATGAGAAAGGAAACCCTAGATTGTAGTAATATTGTGAAAGACTAACAACCAATGAATCGCTACCTCAAATCGTATATACAAACTCCAAATCTGTGGCTGAAATTGCTCGATCACCAAAGAATCAGCATCAATAACCAAAACCCGAAGAAAACGAAGAATCACCGATGTGAAAATCCTTCAAAATCAAAAAATTAAACCGATAGAATCGTAGAAAATGATGAAACCAACCATGTTTGATGTGATACCATGTGAGATTTGTAAATGGAACGAGAGAAATTGAAGAATTTCAGTTTGGACAAACCCTAGAATGTTCGAGAGAGAGAGAGAAATATCTAAGAGGAGAACATGAGCTTAATTTTCATTATTGCAAGATATTTTTTACAAGTGTAATATTCGGTCCTTATACAAAATGAGTACAATCAAATAAATATTAGGCATGCTACTATGTTGGGCCTTCAGCAAGTCTATCAATTGGGCCATCTATGCTAACACGTTCGCAGGCCTTGGAGTCACTTTCTTATTTTTGTTAAACCGTTTCCATTTTGTTTTGGACAATGTTGTATTTTTTTTTAGAACCTTTTATTTAGTTGGATTTAGAAGCTCATGTACTCGTGACTCCAAATCTTTGGGTGGTTTTACATTAGTTATTAATTTTAGAACTTATTATGTTGTCACAAAATTATTTTTACGTTATGTTATTTGTCCAACTATCAGATATTTATTGCTTTTCTCTTTGTATTATTTATTGTGTTGGCTTGCTTAGCGAGCGGTGTTAGGCACCATCACGACCCTTATTGGCTAGGATTTTGGGTCGTGATAGTTTCTCATGCACTGCAAATCCCAATCCATTTACTAGCTCTTTAATAACCAACCAAAAGAATGACTCTTTACAAAGCGAAGAGGAGGTTGTTTTTAATCAATAACTTATGGGGGACTCTTCCTCCCTTTTGAGATATTATGTACCGTTTCTTACACAAATTTGGATTATAAGCCTAGTTTAGGTATGGAAATGGATTGTAGAGTGAAGACATCTTTAATACTAAAATATTGAGTTTTTTTACGCACTTGATCCTTTTTTAACTATTATTTAAAAAAAAATAGCATCATTTATTGTTTATTCCATAAAGAGCACTTTTTTTCATTATTATCATATTACAAAAATTAAGCCCAACATTCATCTTTTTCACTCCATTTTTTAAAATCTGATGCATATGTGAATGCCACTTAAATTCAAGATGTATTGATTTATACGTCTTTTATACTTTGTATATCAAGTATCACTTTAATTTAAAATATATTTTTATGTATATAATTTTGTATATTTATTTGTGAAGTGCCATCTTATTTTAAGATGTATTTTTAATGTATATTTCAAATATATTTTATATGTCAAGTGCCATTTTAATTCAGGATGTATTTTTTATATATATGTTTTTTGTATATTTATATGCCATCTTAATTAAATTTAAGATATATTTTTTATATATATATTATACACATTCGTCAATTATTTATAAATTCAATGATTGAATGGGCAGCTATTTAGGTTAATTCTTCTATTCCGTTATTCACAAGAGTAGCTTTTGTTGAAGAATTCTTGGTTATCAACAACACTTTCGAAGCCTCCAACATATCCGGAGGCGGAGTTAGGATTTAAAACTTATGGGTTCTGAATTCTAGGACTTTTAAGATACTGAGTTCTAAATTAATAATTTGTACATATTAAATAAAATTTTTAAGATAAATATAGAGTTTGCATCAAAACTACTGGGTTCGGCCGAACCCACACTTCGATCTCTAGCTCCGGCCCTGAACATATCAAGTACTTGCATTAAGTTAATTGTGGTATGTAATTCAATTGGACCAATTATATTTCAACAAAAATAAGGAGGAAAGCTCAAACTAAGATTGGATGCGGCATAGTTACATGTTGGTAGAAACTTACAGCTTGTTTGGATGGTTGTTATATGTTGTATTATATCTTATTGTCTTTAAATACAATATTTATTTTAATTGTTATTTAAATGTATTGTATCGTTAAATCCGTCGTTACGTAGTAGTCGCATAGTTACCTTATTTTTTTCTCATCTTACCCTTCCATATTATTAAATAATCGTATTTTATCCTTTATCCTTTATCCTACCTTTTTTAAATAATAATTTTACCTTGTACCTTACTTTTTCTTTATAATATTATACGTTTATTCTTCATATTGTTAGTGCATGATATCATGAAATGACTGGAAAACAATATAATCTATCCAAATATTATATACATCAAAACGATACAGTACAATACAATACAATACGATATATTGTGAAATGACACAAAACAACCATCCAAACAAGCTGTTACATGCAACGAGTGTTTACACCAAGTAAATGAGTGTAAGTTGTCTTACATATATACTTTTTTTATACTTAGCCATGGTTAAGTGATGTACATTTTCACTTTAGTTTGTTGATTCTTAATGTTAAATGATTAAGGTGTAAACACAGACTAACTATAAGTATTTACCGTCAGATGTTCAGCTAATTCCTTTTTTTCACATAATTAACTGGAAACAAGAATAGACCCGGCTAGACAACAATGACCAATATGGTTGTCGAGATTCACACTTAAGACACTACAATTTGAATTCCAGCAAATGTCGCTCGTTGGCATAACGCCTTGATACGTGAGTCTAATTTGTTGGGATGAAACTCCGCTTCTTTATACTCTTTGGAGGCAAAAAAAAAAACTCTCATTTCGTTCAAGCAGATATATAATTACTAACTTTTTGGTTAAAAAGGAAAGAGACTTTAAACCTTTATCGACGCCAACATACTGGCAGGGGAGCATCATGAAAGCGAGGCTCGACACCCCTTGACCGCGGCTTTATGAATTAAAACTGGATGTTGGCTTGAAGAAAAATGCAGGAAAAAGAAGAAGGAGCCTCTTTCATTAATTTAAGGGTTGAACACAATCTAGCAAACTAAGTTCATAGAACATATTGCCCTCTAAGTAGCTCTCAACCATTGCTGTGACTTGGTGAAACTGGATGTGTTGATCTAAGAAGTTGCCTCTGTGGAGGATTACACTTACAAAAGAAGAGGATTGTTCAGTATATACAAACTACAAGTGAAAATACATTCCAATTGTGAACTAACACTTCCTAGGCCAAATACAAGATTGGGAAAACGTACCTGCATTCTCTGTTGTACAAGAGAAGATGCTCCTACTAAATTTACACCTCTTTGCAGAAAATATGTAGCAAAGCTGCCGATATCTCCATTCTTAAAAAACAAAAATGCTCCATTAGCCAGAGTCCGCAGAACACGAGGGGCAGTATGTTATGATGTTTTGACTAAACCTGCTGTCCAATTCCTCCAATCTAACTTACCAATAGATTTGTTCCTAAAGCTGACCATTTCTTTGAAATCGAAACTCCACTTTTGATTATTGCTTTCCGGTTTTCCTGATTCAACTTCCTCTCTTCCTTCTTCCTTTGTGTCGACACCTTCTTCTGCAGCTTCTTCGTTTTCATTTACTGCTTCTTTTGCAGTCTCAGGCACTGCTTCAGCTTGAACTGCTGCATCAGTAATGATATTCCCGAGTATATCAACGACCTCACTCATTTTAGGGCGAGATCTTGGATTCTTCGTGAGACATTTGTTGGCCAGTGATGCAAGTCTTTGAGCAGACTTGACACAATCATGGCCTTCAAGTCGAGGGTCGAGAATAAAATGAAACTTCTTTGAGTCTAAAACGTAGGGTCTCACCCATTCCAGTAGTTTTTGCTCAGCTCGAGGAAGGTTTCGTTCCAACACTCTCCTTCCTGTGATAAGTTCATAAAGGACAACTCCGAAGCTCCAAACATCACTTTTAGCAGTGAGTCTTCCAGTCTGGACATATTCAGGGGCCGCATAGCCTACCGTACCTACAACCTGAGGAACTGCTATGTCACGCATTGCACAAAGAGACAATATCTACTGTAGATTATCAAAGACATGAATCACAGTTCTTATAATATCATGATCTTTCTGCTTGAAGTTTTATACTCCCTCCATCCCAGCATATGTGACGTTGTTTGAGTAGGCACGGGTTTAAAAGACAGACTTTTGAAACCTGTGGTCTAACACAAGTCATAGACATTAATGGGAAGTTTTAAGTTTAAATTATTTTTAAATAAAGGAAAAATGCCATTACATTTAGGACAGACTAAAAAGGAAAGTGTGGGAGTAAGAAAAGAAAAACTTATTAATTCCAGATTGAGACCCACTGACGCCAAAAAACTTACTGATGTTGAGATATGGCTTAGTCCTGCAGCTGGACCTTGCCGAGCCAGTCCAAAGTCTGAAAGCTTTGCATTAAAATCTTCATCCAGAAGAATATTTGATGGCTTGAAGTCTCGAAATATCAACTGAACCAAAGACAGTAGCGGAAAAATAACATAAGGACAACTTCTAGAACCAGAAATATCAAAGGTTAGTAGTTGGTAGTGCTGATAAGAGGCTGCAATCCTGAATATATCAAGGGATCGCGGACAATATCAAGTTTTGCTGCTATCTCTGTTGATAGCCATACTGAAGTTTGACTTGGGCTTCCATGCATCAACAATGTCATGTTTTTTCATAGGAGTTTACAAACACATATATAAGAAAGTTTTCGTGAGTTCACTCTGTAATCAACAAACTTAAAACTATCTGATTTCATCCTAGAAGACATAACTTTGACTAACCGTAAAAGCACTAATGCAATTACCATCCAAATTTCAGAATTGTCAGAACGTGCAGTGCTCCATATCCATTAAGCCATTTTTTCTTAGTGAGACGACTTATCTTTTGGTAACTTGTACAAAAACCATGTAAATAAATGGCGAATTAGGTATATGAAGCAGTTTGAAGAAAGGGACTGCTTTAAGCTTGGATAAACATAAAAAGCTTGGATAAACATCAGATTTATCTTGTTTAAAAAAATCCAGCCAAATGATTTTCTTTTTTGGCTTCTTATCTGTCATCCCAAAAGGGAAGCCTTGGCGTAACTAGTAAAGTTGTTGCCATGTGACTAGGAGGTCATGAGTTCAAACTGTGGAAACATACTCTTGCAGAAATGTAGGGTAAGACCGCATACAATAGACCCTTGTGGTCCAGGCATCCAGCCCTTCCCCGGATCCCCACGCATAGCGCGAGCTTAGTGCTCTGGGCTGCCCTCTTTTATTTGTCATCCCACCCTATCTCATTTGCTCGTCTTCCAAGTTCCTTTTTGCTTCTATTCATCTCATGTATTCTACTATCCTCCAGTTGATGATCAATAAAGAATTAATCTACATCTGTCCTTTTGTTACCTTTCTCAAAATATTAGTAAATCTGTTTTTAACATCACTGACAATTTAGCTAAGCGAATTACTTTTCATTTTGATAAGAATCAGGAAAATATTCGGTAAGCTAGTTCACCTTTCCAACATGATTCAAAGGATTAAGTCGTTGCATTTACTCAATATCAAGGGACTGAAAGATAAGAAAGAGTTTTTTCTTCCATAAAAGAAAAAATATTAATGGGATGATTTCAACCCTCTTCCTTGAACTGAATTTCTACTACAGTAACGTGCGAAGCTTTTTCTTTAGTAAGGAAATCTTGAAGAAAGAAACAGCTTGAAGAAAGAAACAGGGTGAGGTCATTAAGTAAAACGCATGAACTACCAATTGAGAAAACACGTAATGGATTCTGAAGAAAGAAGTCTAAATCACCTGAAAATCCATTTCTTCATGCAGATATGCTAATCCACGAGCTGCATCTTGGGCAATTTTTAATCTCAAAGTCCAGGAGAGGGGAGCTCGTGATCGGGCCAACAGATGGTCCTCCAAGCTTTTGTTACACATGAGTTCATAGACTAAAAGACGTTGCATCCCTCTTTCATCATCCTCTGCACAATAGCCGATTAACTTCACTAGATTTGGGTGCTTCACTACACCTAAAAAGTTTACTTCATTAATCCACTCCTTATGCCCCTGAATACTAGACCACAGAAAAATGAAACACATAAGATGATTGTAGAGAAACTCAGCATTATCTTATGAAACATATAAGATAACTGAGCTGAGAGGTGATAGGTAAAGAAATAAACTAGAAGACCAAAACTATCATATCCGAGTCGATGATCCCGAGGTCCTAGTTTTTGAATCACCAGTTTTTTTCCCAAATTAAATTTTTTTCTGGCAGATTATAAAAAACAATCGGTCTTTTTCTTGAATAGTTTGTTTTACCTCCCATCCTAATAATAATAACAATAAGAACAACAAGAACAAGAATAAGAACGAACAACAACCACGATACATCATCATCATCATTCCCTTTCAATTTAACACTTTTCAACGGTTATTTTGATCAATTTCAGAATTAACCGCATTACATTAATATCTTTTATAAAATTAAAAAAAGATACTTTATGCCATTTCCTTTTTTTATGGAGGTCTCCGGGCCAGCTGTCGTGCACATCGATTATTCCACAAGGTATATCCAAATGACAAAATGATAATAATGTAAGACAAAATTCACTTAGCTTATCAGCCCCAATAATTATTCACATTATAAGCATATAATGAATTTATTATCTTTTTTTTTCTCCTCAAAATCAAATTTCTGCAAATTAAATCACTCCAATCACCTTAATGGAAATAGCACTCAAAATTTTATCTAAAAAACATCCATAAGCATAATAGCTAAAATATTCAATAGAATCTAAGTCCTAACAATGTAAGAAATATTTCCACAATCATGTACCTTATAAGATAATTCAAGGTAAACATCTATTTATATGATAAACATTAATTCGTAATCTGATTAAAAAAGATTTTAAGTTATATGCGCTAATGATGTAAAGCTTTTTACGTAAATTTTAGCCTGTAATTGCATATCAAACCATTTTTACCAGGTTACCAATTAGAATTTAACTAATATCCATGGACCGCGCAAAACGTTTTTACACTATCAGGTCACATTTACATATTATGGCAGGCGACATGCCTTATTTTCAAGATTTTAATTTACTATTAATTACCTTATACGGAGTATATAAGTAACTTGACTGTATAAATATTGTGGGTAAACAACAGTAAAAAAAATAATCTTTGTATATATAACTTAATTTTATTTAATATAAAGGAGAAAAGCATGCCTGGAATCCATGGCGATTCAATCGTTTAACAGCAACTTCCATTTCACCAACAACTCCTCTATACACAGACCCAAATCCTCCTTCTCCGATCATTAAACCTCTACTGAAGCCTTTCGTCGCTAATTTCAGCTCATAAAATCCGAAAACTCGCAGATCATTAGCTCGTCGCTGAGTTAAGAACTCATAAAACTCGAACGAGTCAGTATAATCCCTCGAGTCCGAGTCAAACTCGGACCGTGACCTCCGCGTATCAACGGTGGCACTGCTCGATGCTACGCTCAATGAACGAACCCATGAAACTTTTGATTCCCTCGAACTTAATGTTGCCCCTTCTTCTTCTTCGTCCTTTGTAAAATAGAAGCATTTCATTTCTGTTTATTGCTTTTGTTTTCTGGGTTTTGGTTTAATTTAAGAAAAATGTAAAGAGAAGGTAATATTAAATGTAAGGAAGAGACAGTTGAAGAAAAGATGAGAGAATGGTTGATTTGAAAACGATGAGTCATGGAGTGGAGTTTGAAGAGCGGGTGAACAAACATCACCTCTCGGAGCTCGGACTTGTAATTGTTGGAAAAAAATATTCGTGTTGATTATATATATATATATATATATTAATTGGTATTATTAATTTCTTGTTTGGTAGTATTTTTTTGATCAATGTATAACTAATATTTGGATAAGTATATATAAAGAGAGAAGCAACCTTTCAAAACCTTTTCCAAATCCTTTTCAAAAGATATGGAGGGTATTTTTATAAACAAACATTTTTAATTTTTTTTTACGTAATGCATGTTATTTTTAATACACCAAATTAAATAGTCGATAATAAATAATCCTAGCATAATTAATCTTCGCGTTACTAATCACATCATTACTAATACACCCTATTTACTACTATTCTTATACACCGCGACCCCTTATGTGATTATGCTCGGTTGAGTACGGAGTTTAAAAATAATATTTTCTTTTGGCATATTTTTCTTTTTAATTTATTCTAAAAGAATGATACACTTTAAATTTCAAAAAAAAAAATTAACTTTATACTTTTCAAAAAAATTTAACACATATAAATGGTCTAAGCTGAAAGTTATGGGTTCATTGGATACACGAAATTCTTTAGTTATACAAACGTCATGACATATTTTACCTCACAATTTTTTTGTGAGAACGAAAGTAGTAATAAATATTTATATATATATAAATTAGCTCATTAAAAATAAAATATAAACTTTAAAATTAAATTACTTATAAATATGAAAAAAATATATCATCATTTTTTAACAAGCTAAAAAGAAAAGAATATTATTAGTGCTTTGTGGCGTATATAATTGATGTAACCGATGTGTATGTGTAGATTATAATATAAAATAGAAATAGGAGGAGCGGGTTTTCTTGATCATGATATTGTCGTGTTGGAGAGAGAGAGAGAGAGCGCAAACAGCGTACATTTTTTGAAAGAAAATCGTACTAGTAGATGAAGATTTGGCGTTGGTTCAATTTGAAAAATTAAGAAAATGAAAGGTTGATATTTCAAAAACATAACTGAAGTCCCCACAACTTCATTGAGATAATAGTCCTTATTGGAAGATGAATATTATATGAAGAGAAAAGAAATACCTCAACGGATGTTTGTGTTATAAACTATTGCTTAAAAGGTGCTACGAACTATGAAGTTATTTGGTTAATAATTTAGATATCATGTGTTAATTATGCAATTATGTTGCATTATTTTATTTCGTTCTATCACGTCATAAGTTGAGAATTTTACACAAATTGTCACATGAATTCACTGTTTATTTTTTATAGTTGGTGCATATAGATTATATATAGTTATTACACATATTATATATGAATTATACATATACTATACATACCGTCAATCATTTTTAATTTAACAATTGGTGGATAACTATTTAAATTAATTTTCTTAAAGTTATAACAGCGACAGAAACCGGTTTCGACCTTCGTATGATTAGTCAAGATTGGAACATAATAGACCGAAGGTCATCTTCATAATATCGATTATGAGATCTGAAGCCAGGTTACCGAGCTCAAATTTCTAGGACCGATCAAATACCGAGCTCGAAGTCATTACCGAGCTCGAATCCAAATCGAACTATGATGCGAAGCGGCGTTATCGAGCTTAAGAGCCAGAGACCGACCAATACCGAGCCCAAGTCAATACCGGGCCCTGAGTCAAAATCGAGCTCGAGTCAATATCGGGTTCTAAATCTGAAAACTAACCAAAACCAAGTCCGATCAAGATCGAGCCAAGGGACAATAGTCGTTACAGCCACACTATGGGAGATAATCTCGGCGGGAATTAGGAAAAAACTAATCTATCATAGGTTCCTCACTATGTATTTTTAATTATATCCAAAGTAGGATCCCTCCACTATAAGAGGGATAACTATTACTTTTGTAAGAGGATCCAACATTAAGGCATGCATACACTCTCATATTCAGATATTACCATTCACAGAGAAATACAGCAGAGATTATCCTCTTGTGAGCTTTATACATTGATTCATCTTGCTTGTTCATAAAATCGCTTTCTATTCAATATTGGTTTGTATTTCATTATTTATAGTCAATATTCGATATATCTCTACTTACTTTTCTGATTTGTGCCAAGTTATACCACGTACCCTTAGAACTACGTATAAATTCAACTTTATCCGTTTTTCGAGTAAACAGTTTGGCACCCACCGTGGGGCTAAGGATAACAGTGGTTGTTTGGTACGAATCTCTACAAAAGACACCTTTTTACGCTTGCTCTCGAAAGTGTCTTTAATTTCAGGTTAGAAACAACGATCTCTCAATTAATGGCCATACCTATCGACAACGAAGCATGCCTTCAAGATGAGAACAACAACTTTACCCCCGGGGGTGGAAGGCCACTCGTTGATCCCGTTAGAGCTTGGGTCGAAGAGCCAATAGACATTAATTCACATGTGGCCATCGAGGCGAACCAACGTTCTGACCCTGAAAATAGCATTCAAGGTGGAACTCGGTCTGTAGCTCGGAATACCCAAAACGCCGAGGAAAACGGAATCAGCTTGCGTATGATTTTTGAAATGTTGCAAGCTCAACAAGTAGCGATAGCCCAGTTGCAGAGCCAAACATAGGCACCAACCAGATTCGAGCCTAGTCCACCCCAAGAAGTCACCCACAAAACGGGGCCAGCTATAGTAAGACCAAATGAGCAAGAAATGGGGACTAGTCCCGAAATTTTTAAGATGTTCGAAGACCTGACAAAATGAATAGAGTCAGGAGAAAGGAGGATCGAGGCAAACGACAAAAAAGTAAAAACGTATAACTCCAGGGTTGATCAGATCCCGGGGGCATCACCGATATTGAAGGTCTTAGATTCCAAAAAATTAGTACAAAAGCCTTTTCCCCCGAGCGAGGCTCTTAAACCGATCTGAAAAAAGTTTCGCATGCCCAAAATTCCTAAATATAATGGAACAACCGACCCCAACGAACATGTCACCTCTTACACATATGCCATTAAAGGGAACGATCTAGAGGACGATGAGATCGAACCTGTATTATTAAAAATATTCGGTGAAACCCTGTCAAAAGGAGCAATGATATGGTATCATATTTTACCGTCTAACTCTATCGATTCTTTTGCTATGCTTGCAGATTCTTTCGTAAAAGCACATGTTGGGGCCATAAAGGTCGAGACCAGGAAGTCATACTTGTTCCAGGTAAGACAAAAGGATAAGAAGATGCTAAGAGTATTCGTATCTCGTTTCCAAATGGAACGAATGGATCTACCACCAATCACAGATGATTGGGCTGTTCGAGCTTTCACTTAAGGTCTAAACGAACGAAGCTCGATGGCTTCACGGCGGCTGAAGCATAACCTGATCGAGTACCCAGCTATTACTTAGGCCGATGTGCACAATCGGTATCAATCCAAAATAAGAGTCGCAGACGACCAGTTGGGTTCTGGGCCCGCTGTTAAAAGGGACATCAATCGAGAACCAAGGCCGATTAGGGACCGATATCGACCATATAGTGGAGACCATAGGGGGAACGAACCAAGACATAATCCCGTACAAGGCAATAAAATAAGTGATCGAGGCCAAGGGTCTCGGGGGCTGATGAACAGAAATAGGTTCGACAGGCATACCGGACCTAAGGAAGCACCATGGTTATCGGAGTATAACTTCAGCATCGATGCATACGCTATCGTGTCGACTATCGGATGCACCAAAGATACTAAATGGCCTCGACCTCTGCAGACTGATCCTGTCCAGAGGAATCCCAATCAAATGTGCGAATATCATGGCACTCATGGCCACAAAACGGAAGATTGCTGGCAACTGAGAGAAGAGGTAGCCCGGTTATTCAATAAAGGGCACCTTCAAAAAATTTTAAGTGACAGGGCCAAAAACCATTTCAAAAATAGGGATTTCAATAGGAAAAACAAACAGGAAGAGCCACAACACATCATCCACATGATCATCGGTGGGATCGATATCCCTCAGGGGCCGATGCTTAAACGCACTAAGACGTCAATTATAAAAGAGAAGCAATCTCGAGCTCAGGATTACGCACCTATAGGAACCGTGTCCTTTAATAATGAAGACGCGAAAGGAATCACGCAACCACATAGTGATGCACTGGTAATATCTGTACTTATGAATAAAACTCAAGTTAAACATGTGTTAATTGATCCAGGTAGTTCGGCCAACATCATTCGATCGAGGGTCGTAGAGCAACTCGGTCTACAGGACCAGGTCGTGCCCGCAACCTTGGTACTAAACGGATTCAATATGGCATATAAAACTGCTAAGGGCTAAATAATCCTACCAGTTAACTTGGCCGGGACCATCCAAGAAATGAAGTTGCACGTGATCGAAGGCGATATGAGATACAATGCCCTGTTCGGAAGACCATGGATCCACAATATGAGGGTTGTACCCTCGACCCTCCACTAGGTTTTGAAGTTCCCAACATCGGAGGGAATCAAAACGGTTTACGGGGAGCAACCGACCACTAAAGAAATGTTTGTCGTCGATGAAGTGATTCTGATATCATCATTATCATCAACAAAAGGATCAGATTCGAAGGAGGAACGGAATACCAAATAACAATCACAAACGTCAGCTTCGACCCAATTAAAGAATCAAAAGACTGACGAAGATGATGAACATGGGGTCCATCGATCCTTCGTAGTTCACGATGATTTCGACGCTACCCAATTAACGGTCAAAGAACTAGAGCAAGTCATACTAATCGAATATCTACCCGAACGAAAGGTATACTAGGGCACGGGGTTAGATCCCGAGCTTAGGAGAAAGCTTATTCAATTTCGTATAGCTAACATAGACTGTTTCGCTTGGTCCCATCTTGACATGACAGGGATTCCACCGGGAATTACCACTCATAAGCTAAGCTTGGACCCAAAGTTCCACCCGGTAAAACAAAAAAAAGGCCCCAGTCTGAGGTCAAACATGCCTTCATCAAAGACGAGGTAACCAAATTTCATAAAATAGGGTCCATTCGAGAAGTAAGATATCCCGAATGGCTAGCAAATGTGGTGGTAGTCCCTAAA